GACAATAAAAGTAACTGTTATGAATTTCCTGTTTTATCCTACAAAATATGCCTAATATTAAGATAATAATAATGTTCATTTTCAAATTTCAACAATTTAATTTTTGGCAAACACTTAATGTGTGTAAGGTAAACTGATCTGGTACATTAAAATGTATTTACTATTCTCAATTTCAGAAGCTACAGTATTTTGGATTTATAATTATGAAAATGAAAAATTTTAGGAATTCTAGATAGGATTGTGGAAATACATACAGCACAGTATAAACAAAATTAGTGACATGTTAAAATTCACTGTTTTAAAAAGTTTCAAATTTCACATAAATAAACATTTTCAGTCTTTTGGTTCCCTCAGTCTCATGTCTCATTATTTTTTAGTCATGAAGTCATAAAAGGTCTATAGAAAGAAAAATCTTTCTCATTCTGAAAGCCTGTATTTTTAAGCCAAATGGAGAAGAATGGAGGGACTTCTGCCACTTTCTAAGGCTGGTTGGTCTATTTCTAGCTAGACTGTGGGAATGGGGACCACAACCTTTGTGGGCTCGTAGGTTCCATCAGGTTATTCACATGTTCTCAGCATAATTCTTCGGGAACATATCTGCAATATTCTAGGCCCTCAGGCAGGAGGTGGCTTGTCCCCACAATCAGTAAGAGAAACCAATTCTAACTCCATTCAATGTGAAACAATCCATGTGGCTTTGGGACTGACTGTATGTAGGTATGTTAGTTTAAATAACAGAAAAGGACTTTATTGTAATTCCAAGGAAAAGATATATTTATTTGTTTTAGCTACTCATACAATTTGATAAAATAACTTTAAATTTTTTATATTTGCTTGGGAAGTGAACATTAAACAATAGCTTACAGTCATATAAACAATATTTTATGTATCTTTACATTCATAAAAACAGTGATTTGTTTTCTGGATGAAGAACTGAGGTCCAGAAGTTAACTTGGCTAGTGGTTCTCAATTTCTGCTTCACTTAGATCCAAGGGTAGTGATACCCAGACCAGGGACCAATTCATCAGAATCTCTAGGGATAGGACCTTTGCATTATCTTTTCTTAAACTCTCCGAGTTGAACTTGTGATGAAATGAAGGTTAGAGGTTAATCCATGTCATACTATTGATTGTCTTAACCTATTCCAGTGAAGACTAGGTTTTATTGTTCTTGTGTATACTGTTCCTAATAAAAGGAAAAAGTGATCGTCCTGCTCAGTGCTATGGAAAGGTGAGCTGTTAGGTGCATGGTTGAGTTGGTTATGACTTACAGTGACAACAGAACAACACACTGCTGTCTGTGCCATCCTCAGAACCATTGCCACACTTGAGCCCACTGTCTGTCTCAACCACTCTCTCGTTGAGGATCTTCCCCTTTTTTTTGCTGACCCTCCATTTTACCAAGAATATCCTTCTCCAGCAATTGGTTCCTTCTGACAACATGACCAAAGTATGAGAGATGAAATCTGGCCACTCTTGAGTGTAAGGAGCATTCTGGCTGTACTTACCCCAAGACAGATTTGTTCGTTCTTCTAGCAGTCCATGGTGCATTCAATATTCTTTGCCAATACCACAATTCAAATGTATCAATTCTTTTTTTTTTTAATAGCTTTCTTCCCATGTTTAGAACCGTCTGTTCTATCTTGTAGTTGTCTTGACTTCCCTACCATCTAGATTCTTTTTCCCTCTTTTTGGTTTGTAGTTGTCCTCATTTGTCAGTTGGTGTCTCTGGTTCCCTGTTTACAATCTTGTAGGCTTATTTACT